GGGGGGGGGGGGGCTGTGGGTGCGCATCGATCGGGAACCTTACACAAGCGATCAGCCGGCTCTATAGCTTGTATGTATACAGGCTTCGCTGCCTGCTTTTAAATTTGGGGAGTATCCCGCTCGCGCCCGGCGTGTGCGAGTGGGTGGGGCCAACAGGACGTCTGATCATGAGCAGATTGCACAGATATTTAAAGCACACTTCTGCTTTAAATGTAAACACGCTTCCGGCTGCCGCAGCCTTACGCCGGTGGCAGTGAAAGGGTTAAATGACTGATTCACCACCAGTGAATGTTTGGTGAAAGAGACATCCACAGCTTGATAAATGATCCCCTTTTATGTGGACAGGACTGTCACAATGTTATAATAATGTCATATTCTAATCCCATTTATAAAGAGATGGATTGGATCTTATTATCTCCGATGTTTATGGGCGCTGGCTGTGCTGAGGGGCGGGGCTTAGTGGAAATGACAGTTGTTTAATAAAGCTCCCAGCTTGGAGGATGAACATTACAGGCAGCACGAGGCGCGATCCCGGCCACCAATCATGTGACACGGCCACCAGTCATGTGACACGGCCACCAGTCACGTGACGCGGCCACCAATCACGTGACACGGCCACCAATCATGTGACACGGCCGCCAATCACGTGACACGGCCTGGGGGGGCTGCGCAGAGACTTTATTCTTCACTTCAGGCAGAGATAAAAAAAAACACCGATGAATGTAATAATGTGTTTATTATAATAATCATTCAATGTCGGGGGATCACTGGGGGGGAGGACCTGAACGTGTCCTGACATCAGCCACTGCAGTCCCAGGAGAGGGAGGGGCAGCCCAGGGAGCCAATCAGGATCTGCTGCATACACATGTGCAGACAAGGAGCATGGAGATGGAAGAAAAAAACAAACAAACCCCCCAAAAATAACGATGAAAAAGGGGAACACACGATGATCGACTTGTCCTTGTACCGCCGTCACTCTGCTCATCATTCTTCTGCCCATTTCCTGTTTGATCATCGGCCAGAGGAGCGGAGTGCAGCCTCTGACATCACCAAAGGAGTGTGCATAGTACGGTGTATGCAGACTGCAGAGATAGTACAGGAGATGGTCAGAGACTGCAGAGATAGTACAGGAGGGGGTCAGAGACTGCCGATATAGTACAGGAGATGTTCAAAGACTGCAGAGATAGTACAGGAGATGGTCAGAGACTGAAGGCATACAACAGGAGATGGTCAGAGACTGAAGGCATACAACAGGAGATGGTCAGAGACTGAAGGCATACAACAGGAGATGGTCAGAGACTGAAGGCATACAACAGGAGATGGATGGTCAGAGATTGAAGGCATACTACAGGAGATGGTTAGAGACTGAAGGGATACTGCAGGAGATGGTCAAAGACTGCAGACAGCAGTCTTTTCTCTCTGACCATCTCCTGTAGTATATTTGAAGTCTCTGACCTTTTTCTGTGATTACTATATCTCCAGTTATGAATGAACAGGAAGTGCTATACATCACTTCCTGTTCATATATGAATGGGGACATAGTAAGTATTTACTATCTGTTCACTTTATGAATGAACAGGAAGCAGCTCAGTACAGAGGCTTCCTGTCCATTCATGAATGGGTGGAGAGCAAATATTTACGATCTCCGGATTGTGAATGAACAGGAAGCTTCTGTACTGAGCGCTTCCTGTTCATTGAGTGCTGAGGCTGCAGAGAAGGACTCTGTGTCCTCAATCTCTTTTTCTATTTTCGAAGGGAAACATTTTGGTGCATCCCTAATACACAGTACAACGCATGGTGACTCCCTCAGTCATTGCCATGGCAGGATGGGCGGAGCCAGGGGCGTCCCGAGGCTGGGTGACACCCGGAGCTGTAACCGTGTGTCACCCCAATCCCCCTTGTGACGCCACTGGGCGGAGCCAGACCTCAAACACCTTATGACAACCCATAGAATTTTGCTCAGAGATCTCATTGGCAGAATCCCCGGAGACATAAGAAGTGAGGGCGCCGCTTGACGTGCACAATATCTTCTAATGGGTCTGCGATCTCAATCCGGGGTGGACTGACCCTTTAAGGAACTGCGGAGCAGTTAAATGGAACGTCATTCTATAGCCCCGTACAGAGCCGTAACTGAAGCCATTTCCAAAAATCGGTTTTCCTTCTATTATTTACGCAGTGTGAGCTCCGAATTCCCCTGAATCTTTTCACCGCTGAAAACAGCCGGAAGAAAGTGCCGATAATAAAGGAGTTATTTCGTGCCTTCGATGGCGGCTTTTTATTGCTCGACTATTAAAGGTAACGCTGCGAGCTCTGGCGGCGAGGCTCTGCGCCGATAAAACCAGGCGTGATGTCAAACGCGGACGATGAGTGGGTTTATAAAAGAAGGACTACAGGTACCAGCATGTCTTTGACTTCAGTGGAAGAGCCGCCTTAAGCAGCAAGTGCAGCCTTGGTGAGGCTTAAAGGGGAACTCTGAGCAAAAAAACATCTGATATATGTGATGGCATTATTTCTCCTTTTCCCTTAATAGGGTGACAACGCTGTTTGTTCTGCAGTGAAATCGCACAGCCGGGTTGTCACCCTGTGGACAGGTGAGTCTTAGATGGACGTGTCGTTTAGAATGGACTTAGCAGACAAATTATATTCCGGCTGTTTTTAAGAGGGTACAGCAAAAAGGGTTTTCTTTCTTTTGGAAAAACGTATAAATCAGGGGCGGGCAACTCCGGTCCTCCAACTTTTGTGGAACTACAAGTCCCATGAGGCATTGCAAGACTGACAGAGACAGGCATGACTCCCAGAGGCAGAGGATTTGTAGTTAAAGCATGGCTGGAGTGTCGGAGTCAGTGGCGTCCAAAGGGG